TAACCCTAACCCTAACCCTAACCCTAACCCTAAACCCATTTACTTTTATAAATCTGATTATTTATTTAACTTCTCTTTCTACTGGTTTATCTATTTTTATTTCTTAATTAATTCATATTATTATTTACTTTTCAAAATTTACTTATTACTAATTTTATCTACCTGCTATTTTACTTACTACTCTACTAAAAATTTTATAAACTGTTAACTAAAACTATCCTTTTAATATTTATAATACCTAATTTACTTACCTGCTAATTATATATTATTACTAAATCTTAATTATATAAATATAATTTAAATTTTACCTGAACTAATGGATCTTCCTACTAATTTATAATCCTTAATACTACTTAAATACTAACTACTATTCTAGCTTATCTGCCTATATATCTAATATATAATTATGGATGGCCCTACCCTGACCCTACTTAAAATAATATACTACTACTAAACTACTTAATATACTTACTATGATCTCTTACTCTTTCCCTAAACTAAAATATATTCCTTAAATTATATATAAACTTGCTAATAAAACCTGTATAATATTCCTATATCTAATTATACTTTAATAATTAATCCTTAATATCTGTAGTATATATATATCACTACTGATATTATATATCTACTGCGGGCTAACCCTGAATGATTAAATAGTATAATATATATAAAATTACTATAATATATCCTTAATCTCCCTGCAAATCCACCATAATCAATAAAATACTGCCTGGATCTCAACCCCTTGCCCATTGATGGTTCCCTGCCCCAAAAATGCTGCTATTGATGTAATCTGATATATATCCACAATATGGGGCTTAATAGCCTGCTGATTCCCCTTATTAGGGAACACTACACGGCCTTTAATGATCTGGCCATGTAAATGCCGCTCGAATGCGTCGCGTATGGCCTCCCCGTGCGGTCCATATAACATCCTGGCAATGGGTGGAACCAACGCACCACGCCATGTACATGGCTGGCGGGCCTGCCACCCTAAATAAATGGATTGGGGCATGCCACATGTATAATAATACTGGAACGGGATATAATCTACCTGGGACCAGACCTGGATCATCCACTGCTTGGCAGCCTGGCTGTCAGGGTGTCGGCATGAATATAACTCATGGTCGCCATCCCGGCCAGTGGTGGTGCAAATATAATACTGATTCAACCATGTCCGGGCTTCCTGCTCAATGAATTCATGGTTAATTCCGGCCTGCATGGCCCCGGACTGCTGACGGATGGCCGCCGGGGGGTATTGCGGACGGGGTGGAATGGCTGCCAGCACGGGGGCTGCCGCGTGGGGGCTACTTCCACGCCTAAACCCGGACCCGGGGGGCACCTGGGACATGAACGAATCGTCTGTCTGAACGGATACCGCGCGGGTGACTGGACAGGGGGCGGACGGGGATATGGGTGGTGCCAATTGGGTGGGTGATGGGGATGGTGGTACCCTGGATGTTGAGCTGGGGGCTACTGGGGTTGGTGATGTTGGGGTGGGACTAACTGGCTCCTGCGCTCCCCACTCGGGATCGCATGCATCGCACGGTAACTCCCCTAGATCAATATCCTGGCACTGCTGCCAGGAATACCCATTGATGGTCCCGTCCAAGTACTGGTCTAATACATACCGTCAACATGAAACCCCCTGGACCTCCATATACCACTGCACACGCTCGAAATCAGCCTCGGCAACCTGGTCAATCCATGGATCTGGGCTATCCCACCCCTGGGGCTGGATAATGATGGCTTTGCTGGCAACGCCATCACGCCCAGCGCGGCCACTTTCCTGCCCGTAATCTAACAACATTCGCGGCCGGCCAATGTGAATCACACACCAGATATTGGGGATATCAATCCCCATGCCTAATGCGCTGGTGGCACTAATGACCCAGGTCTGGCCGGCCTGGAACCGCTGCATGACCCCGGCTCGATCTAACACCGCGCTGTGGTACGGCTCACACCCGATTTCCCGACTGATGGCCTCCACCTGACTCTTGATATTGGCATATATAATGACCTGGCCGCCACGGGCCTGGCAGATGCGCGCCTGGATGAAACCAATCACCCCGGGGGTGGTCAACCACTGGTGCGGCTCCTGGGGCACCCCATGCGGCAATATCAGCCGGTGCACGCGGTATGCCATGTTCGGACAGCTGGTCTGGCTGCAATATATGCTGACCTCACTGGGCCAGTGCTGGATCTGCTGCAAAAACATGGCTTCGCTGGATGGGGGCAACGTGGCTATCAAATATACCATCTGCGTGTGGGCACTGGCCAATCAGCCTAATCGGGCCATGGCGGGCCGGAAATCCTTCTGCGGGTTCAATATCACATGGCATTTGTTAATAACAATCCGGTCCAGCCGCCGCAGCAACTGCTGCCGGTTCAAAAATGTGTGGAAATCGGGGTTCTCGGTGGATTCGGGCGTGACTAGCATAATCGCAGCTTTATTAGGGGGGTGGCGGCTTTCCCATGATATATAACAGATCCCTAGTGTCTGGCACCACTGCATCAAATCAGCTTGCAACAAAATTAATGAGACGACCATAATAGTACAACCCCCCAGGGCAGTATACACGGGTAACATGAATAACATGCTCTTCCTGCTCCTGGTGGGCATGATGGCCACGACCGGGCTGGCACCATCCTGGATGGCTTTGATGGCTGGCCCCTGCACCCCGCGGAATGTAATCTCCTGCCCGGTCATGCGCTGCAATACCTGCTCCAAATTGGCCGCCTGTAACTATGCCTGCCGCTGGACCTGGTGGTCCACTGCCTGTTCCTCCCACGGGTTCTCCTGCTTGCCTAATACGGGGTGGTCCTCCCGAGTAAATCCTAAAAATCAGTGCCAGTCCGTGCTGGATGCCCGGAATTTTAACCGCCGCGTGGTGGTGCTGCCTTCGAACTTGGTCACCTCCCGGCCGTATATCATCCCGGCCACATGGGGGGTGTGGCCGGCCTGCTCGTCTGTAATATTCCCAATCTTATCAAGATCCTCATCTGCCTCCATGGTGGCCATCTCTTGCTCCCGCTCAACCTGCACGTTGTTCGGGAATGCGCTGGATGGGTGTAAAAAATGATGGCTGATGCCCACTATGATATCCCGATAATAGGTAATATTGAGCGGGTATGATAACCCCATGCCAGTCTGGCTCTCCTACTTCAACACCTCGCGGAACTGCTCACTGGTCCAGTCCTGGCTGCTGCCGACGTCGGGTCCCCATAATCTCAGGTTGTGGTGGTGACTGGGGTGGTGGTGCGGGCATTAGTCAGCGTGGAATACTGCCAGCTGTCGCACAAATAGTAACACCAACCATAAATACCACACAACCAACTCGCCAATCGCCCGGGGTAAATACCGGTGGATGATCTTCACATCATTGCTGGCGTGGAATCCTTTATAGTATGTAGTAACAAATACCACCATGCTATCCTTAATATATATATTTCAGTACTAGTTAGTCTCGGTATTCACGTGCTGGATATTTAATAACTCCGGGGCTTGCACAGGTACCCCACTAGTCAAATGCATGGCCACCGCCAGCTTCTCCTTGAACTAGGCCACCTGCTGGAAATACTTCTAGATCTTGGGGCCGCTAACCTCCCCCTGGGTGGTGAAGGTGCGGGTCATGGCGGGTTCCTGCACGATCTGGTCCAGCAGCCAGCTGTGCCCAGCCACGGGCCACCAGGTCCGCGCATCCTGTAAAAAACTCCAGCCAGGGGTGGCTTTAGTGGGGTTATCAAATAACTGATCCCATGGAATGGCGGGCCATTAATCTAGATTAGGTTAGCATAATAACCCTGCCATGAACTCCCGCGCGGCCCCGACCAAGCCATGCACGAACCCCCAGAACTCGCCCATGGTAAAACTCATCTCCTTATATAACAACCACTCCTGTCCCATCCAGGTCACATGCCCGGGGGCAGTAGTATTGTAATGAATCTTTAGCCTAAAGGTCCACCAATCCAGCAACACCTCCACGGGCCCGTGCTGGCCACGGACCATGAATTGCTAGACCATCCAGTCCACTCCAGCTTGGAATAGCATTCCCTGGGTTCGGGGAATCTAGTAGATGAGGGCCGCGGGCGGGCTGAGCGGGCTGGACAGTGGGCTGGACAGGGGAGACACAACAGGGGTGTTGGGTCCCTCTACATACCCTTTATTAATGATGAACCCTAACTCTTCATCTGCGGCATTTCCTGTCCATGACCCTTGCTCTGCAGCCGCAGCCCACATGCGGATAATCTCCATATACTGTGGATCTAGCCATAATACTTTCTACACAAGCATGAAGCGCGCCACTTTCAATACCCAGGAAATGATAGGCGGGTAACTCTCAGGGCCCTGCCAGGTCACCTCCCCCCGACCTAACATGGTCATGGCGTAGATTAACGGGCTCTTGTACTTGTAGACCTTGATCTTCTAGTTTAGCAACTTAATACAAAACTCCAAGCATGCGGTCTTGATTGCAGTTATAATAAATAGCTGGACCGCGGGGGGCTGATCCTCAACCTCCATGGGATTAGGACTACACCAGGATTCTTGCGTGGCTATCTGCCATAACTACTGCCATGTTTTTTGCTGCCGGGTGATCATAATATACCGCGGCTGCTGCTTCCACAGCCAGTCTGTCTGCGTGCAGATGATAAACAGTAAAATCTGCTGCTATGGCTAGATATAATCTTGGATACTCTTCTCGTCCATATACGCCCGTAATGGCTGGTACAGGGTCTGGTGTGGCATGGTGCGTATGGCGGCCATTCGGATCCCATTCCCGCACTGCTTTACTGTATGCTGGCTGCGCCGGGCCAGTGACTCCATGGCATCCCATACTACGCGCGTGGCACCGCTCACGGGGTCCTCCAGCTTGGGATCGGGAGTGGCCACCACCGCAAGCAGGTCCAGAATATACACATTAGCTAAATACCGGGCCCAGCAGGTCATGCGCAGCCATGGATTGGCATCCTGGAGCTCCCTGGCCTAGACAACCTAGGCAGCTGCCTCCTGCTCATCCGCTGCCGCCCGCGCCTTGATCTCCGCGACCAGCTGCTTGTGGGTAGTGATTGGGACGGGTTGCTCCTTGGGCTAGGGATCATGCGATAGGATATGCACTAAATAGGAGTTTTTCTAGCTGGGGAATACCTACTGCCAGGCAACTAGGCAGAATGATTGCTAAAGCTGGATCTGCTACTTCTCCCGCTCCCGGGCAGGAATCCCTCCATGGAACTGGTGCTGGGTCCAACCATGCACTTCTTTCCAGTAGTTTTGCATGGATTTAATGCTGGTAGTAATATACATACATTGCTCTAGTCCCTTACTATGGCCATGCTGGCATAACAGCCTGTTGGTATAAATAGGGATGATGGGAACTGGCGTGTCTAGTACACGGGGAATATATAAATTGTCCGGCTGCTGGATGATCCCTGCCTAGCTAGCCACTGCCTGAGTAATAGGTTGACTATCCCGTGGCTTGAGGAAATGCTTCTTCTGCAGGTGTGTTGCAACCTCCTTGGGATAAACACCATGCTGGCACTGGCAATATACAATAATTTGTAGCATGGGGATCTTCTTGAATAGCTGGTGTTCTATAATAGAATATAGATGGGTGGCAGCTAGGTATAGATAAAAATATAATATTAGATAGGAAAACTGATGGAAATACTTAGAGGAATTAAAGTTTAACTAGGCTTTTTAGCTAGACAAGCCCCTGATTATTTGATTTACTGGTACAACTAATCTATTACTGCTGTATATAGCTATCTAAGTCTATCCCCTACCAAATCTTCAATAGAACCCCAACCAACTTTAACACACCACTATACATTTACCTGATGCCTACAGGCTCTAAAACTTGGGAATCTATAATTTAAGTGGCCAATCTATATCTGGTAAAAATTTAAGCTATAACATGTAACAGGTTCTACAGGCACCCTACTCCTGAAAATTAAGCCACCCTATGATAAGCCAACCAATCAGCGCTGGTCCTCCGCAAAACCCTAGAGCCACCCTAGTAGCCTTCCTCAACCCTTGTGGGATAGGGTGGATAGTCAAGGCAGAATCTAACTAGATAGGTACTATAGCTTTGCATTGTGATAGTATCCCCCTTCTTAGGGTCGAGCTCTATTGAGACTAGGGAGGAATTGGCCGGGGTTTCTTAGGATAATAGAGGTAGTAATTATTTACTAGTTAGTGAGCATTCTCTAGATATTTAGTAGGCTCTTTAATTAGCTTATTATATCTAATTTACTTAATAGTATATTGCAGCTTAAGTTTACCATAGCCTTAATAAATCTATTAGAAATTAAGGACTTTCTTGACTTCCTATTCTTCTAATCCTTCTACTTTAATAAGTAGTAATAGATTAGGGTATTAACCAGGTAGAGGGTTATTAGTAGTAGGGTAGAGTAGAAATATATTAAATATAGAATAGATTCTCATACTTTTAGGTAGTTTAAGTTTATAAGTATATAAGCTAATAATCCTTTTAATATAGTATAGCCTAAAGTTCTTCTAGTCTAACTTCTTCTATAGGTAGAGTATTTAAATATTATAGGTATCTAGCTAGACTTCTTGCCCTATAGTATAGTAATGTGCGGGTTACCTTTAGTAATTAGCTTGTACTTTGTAACAGGCTTAAGTAGATAAGATCTTAATATAGATAAACTTATAAATCTTATATATAATATTAATAAACTTCTTAGTATCTTTCTTAGTAGGATAGATAGTAAGGTAGCTTAGTTCAAACTCTAATATTAGGTAGAATCTATAGTTAGCCATGAATAGTGATACTCTTGTAGACTTAAAATAGATAGAGTTGGTAGTAAACTTAGTTATTAATAATTATTTAGATTAATTATCTTACAGGTATAATATATATACTTATAAGTATTATTCTAAGATAGTATTAATATATTTAGTTTAGCTATTAGTCTTAGAGTAATAAGTAATAGATAGTAGGTTATAGATTTTTAGGTGGGATATTAGGTATTTTTAGAAGGTAGTAATAAACTAGACTTTATAATCTAATATAATTATTTTAGGAATATTATAGAGCTTCTAAATATACTTAAAATATAGGTTAGCTATTTCTTTAGTATTAATTATCCTAATATAGGGGAGGAAGTACTTTATCTTTATTAAATAGTTAATTATAACTAGAATAGTATTATAGCTATTACTTAATAATAAGTATATAATAAAGTCCATGCTTATATCTTACCAGGTATGTTTAGAAATTAATAGAGGCCTTAGTACTCTTTACTTTATTTCTTAGAAAGGGATAATTTAGTAGTAGAGATAATAGTTCTAGATCTATTAATTAATATACTTATAAATCCTGGGCTAGAAATATTTATATAATATTAGTTTATATATTTTAATTTTTCTAGAATATCTAGTAGCAGGATTTTTATAATAAAGTTTTAGTATTTTAGCTTTTATCTTATTATAGTTAGACATGTAAAGTTAGTCTTAATATCTTAGGTATAAACTAGTATATCTATAATTAGCTAGTATAATATTAGGGTGTCTTAATAGATTATCCTTTAGGATATTTAGAATAGACTAGAGCTTTTTATCTTATAAATAAGCTTTATTAAATAGTAGTTATAATATTAGTAGCAGGGAGATTAGTTTATTAGTAATAGGTTATTTAGTAAAGTATACTTAGTATTAGCTATTAATATTTAGTCTTAAATTAATAGTAGTCTTAGATAGTAAGTTTTTAGATTTTAGGATAATCTAGCTCTAGTAAAGGAGTTATTTATTCTTCTTCTTAGGTAGATTCTCTAACCTTCTAGTTAATATATTAGGCTTAGTACCTAACTTCCTGGAGTAATAATATATTTAGAAATTAAATCTTAATAAAAATTTAGACTAGCAGGCTTATTAATAATTTAGTAGTTTAGTTAATATAAAATACTCTAGGTTCTAGTAATCTATAATAACCTTTATAGGTAATAAAGTCTCTTCTAGTTTAGAATACTATTCTTTAAAGTAATAAATAATAATTAATAATTCTTTATTATAAATCTTATAATTATATTTTATTATAGAATATTTCTTAAAGAAAAATATAATAAGGTATAATATATCTTTATTATTATATTATAATAGTACTCTAGTAAATATATAATTAGAGATATTAGTTTCTAGAATTATATCTTTTAACTAGTTAAAAGGTTTTAATATTAGGATATTTATAAAAGTAGCTTTTAGTTATTTAAATACTCTTTAGTAGGCAGGTATCTAGTTAAAGTTAATATCTTTCTTAGTTAGGTTAATTAATGGTCTAATAATTTTTAAAAAATTATAGATAAATTAGTAGTAAAAGTTCCTAAAGCTAATAAAGGCTTAAATATTAGTTAGATAGGTTAGTATTTCTTACTTAATAATTATTTTTACTTTATTAGGATTTATTTAGAAGTTATTTCTACTTATAATTAATTCTAGGAACTTTATCTCATGTATAAAGAATTTATATTTACTAAATTTAGTATAAAGTTTTATTACTTATAGGTATTTTAATACTTATTAGATATAATAAGTATGTTTAGTACAGGTTTAGCTATAAATTAGAATATTATCTAGATATATAATATAAAAAATATCTAGATAATTATATAGGGCTTTATTAATAAATCTCTAGAATAATACTAGGACTCTAGTAAACTTAAATAATATTATTAAAGATTTAAATAAGCCTAATTAAATTTAGAAAATAATAAGGTATTCTTGTCCTTTCTTAATCTATAGATTATTAAAAGTAGAGATAATATTAATTTTTAAGAAATATCTTATTCCTTTTAGGTTATTTAGTATCTCTTTTATTAGTAGTAGTAAGTAATAATCTTTTATAGTAATTATATTTAGGACTTAATAATCTATATAGAATTACAGGCCTCCTCTAGGTTTCTTTATAAATAGGACAGGGAATATAGTAAGAAAAGAATTAAGATAAATAAAATCTTTTCTTAGGTTCTCTTTAATCTATTCCTTCAAAACTTTTAGTTTATCTCAGGACATATTATATAGGCTCCTAAAAAGTAAGGTTTTTCTAGGTAGTAATTTAATCTTATAATTATTAAATTAGTAGGGTAGCAGGCACTCAGCCTCCTTTAGTAAGAATATATTATAAAACTTAGTAAACTTAGGGGGTAGTTACTCTTATAGCTTAGATTTAATAATAGTAATAAGGTTTAGAGTAGCTTTAATATTAGTAATAGTAGTAGTAAATATCTAGTATTCATAGTAGGTATATATAGTACAGGCAGTAACTAAGATTCTAGTAATATCTTAGTTCTTTAGAGATTCAAGATAAAAGTTAAGGTATTAAGAAGAAGCTTTTAGTAATATATTATATAATATTAAAATCTTTATAGGCTTTAAAAATATATTATAGTACTTTCTATAATAGGGATTTTTAAATAAAATAGTATAATTAGTAAATTTAATCTAGGAGTTATAAATCTTTAACTAAGATAAGCTAAGGATAATAGGAAAGTATATAAGTTAGGTTATAAGAAAAGTAATATCTTTTTTAATATAGTTATAGATTCTTTAAGTTAAATAAATAAAATAAGTAATATTACTAGACTCTGCTAGAGTACTATTAAATCCTCTTAATAAGATAGGGTTTTTTAATAATAATATCTCTAGTTAGTTATTTATAGCCTAATTATAGTCTATAAAATATTTACTCTTAGCTCTAGAGTTAATTATAGTAAAGATTAGTAAAATCTTATTAAGGGTTTCTAGGTTAATAAGTAGGATTATTAATTTAGATTAGTAACTTTCCTTCTCTACTATTATTCTAGCTATCACAGCCTTTAATAGGTAGAGAGAGTACTAGGGGTATTCCTAATTATAGCTTAGGTTAAGAATACTCTATTTTCTAATTTAGGGGATGTAGGGTATTTAGCAGGCAGGATTCTAGTTAATAAGGGGTATAGGTCCAGTTTGGTAATAAATATAGAGATATGGCTAGTTAATTTTTAGTCAGGATACAGGCAGCTGCCTACTAGGTAGTTAGTACTGCTATAGTAGTAATATAGGTATTAGATTTAATAATTAAGGTAATAAGTAATAGATAGGTTTATTAGGTCTTTAGTAGGAGCAGTAATAATAACAGGATTAATAGGGATTATAGGAATTTGGGTAGTAAAAATTAGCTTTAAGATAAGTTAGGGAGGCTAGGAATTCTTTATAAATAGGGGTAGGATAGTACTTATATAATAGTAGTAGTAGTTTTCTAAATTTTATAAGTAATTAGTAAAGTTATAATATTATAATAAGGCCTTAAAATATATTAATATTTCTTAAAGTTCTT